TTTGAAAATTAGGTAGAAAGATAATCCCAACCTTAGGAGCGAGATACAGCCGAAGCGCCACTTGATCATTGAATACAACCCTCGAAGGGAAAAAAATAGATGTTAGCGACTGTCTCAGACAAACTCACACAAAAACCTAATCCTAGACTCTCACGAATGCCAATATACAATAAGAGGATAACTAGGAGTGACCCACCAAGATTGCCGACTCCCCAGAAGGGAAAAAACATGGACCGGTTTGGCCTAGGCAAATAGGCAAAGCGTGCGCTTTGTCGATGTCGCATGCGGGATGGCCCGCATCACTCAATCTATTCATCCATCTAAGCATATTTATGTTGTTATTGTAGGTTTTATTGTAGGTTTTATCTTTTGATATTCTTTCCGAGATGAGAATGCCGACTCCCTAGATATTCTCTTTCATGTTGTTATTGTAGGTTTTATCTTTTGATCGAATTCCATTGATTTAGCTTATTATTACATTTTGTGAACTCCGAAGTGATATGAATATTTTAGAATGGAGGAATATGATTACTGCCATTCTTTTTTGTAGAATCTATAATTTTAATAATTGTTGTTTTTTGAGTGTTTCCGATAAAATTATATTTAAAAATCTGAGATATAATACCTTTGGAAGCCCATGCAAGAAAATATTCTAAATGCCATGATTCATTTGCTATTTTAAATGTTATGTGCCACAGCGCATTAGACGCTTAATTTAGTCCTGAAAATTTTTGTGTCTGATTTTTTTCTGATTTTGGCATCAGATTCTGAAATTATTGAGGGGCGATCAAGAATATTACTTAATTGTCCAATAAGGTATGTTGAATATTGTTGCTCTTACATTTGTTCTCTCTGAATCGTCTTAAACATGCAAATTGATTTGAAACATTCAAGACTTTAACATTTTATGTGTATGACTTTTATTTGAAGTGATTAGCTGTGTTACATATAAATTACTGATAGGTATTCTGGCTTTTAGCCGTGTGATTTTTAATCTTAACAATGCTGCATCTTGCTGTGATCCCAGTAAACTATCCATTTTCTCGTGCAGAGGTTAACTTTGAATTATGGAGGTCTACATTATCATTTAAAGGTCTTCATTTGTGTAGATTAAGGTCTTCGTTTATGTAGATTTAAAACTGAATACATAGAATGTAATTTCAGTAGTAGTAGATCTAGTGACAGAATTGTAACAATGAGTGATGAGTGTGAACGTTTTAGATATCTCAAGTCTATTGTTCAAAGGGATGGTGATATAGATGGGGATGTTATTAGTAGAAATCAGGTTGGATGGTTGAAGTGAAGGAATGTATTGGACCTAAGGGATGGTGATATAGATGAGGATGTTATTAGTAGAAATCATGTTGGATGATTGAAGTGGAGGAATGTATTGGACCTATCGTGTGATAGAAAAGTATCGCTTAGACTTGAAGAAAAATTTTATAAGATGGTGGTGAGACCTGCAATGCTTTATGGCACAAAAAGTTGACCTTTAAATGAGAAGCATAAAACTAAGTTAAGTGTTGCTAAAATGAGAATGCTTAGGTGGATGAGTGGCTTAACACTTAGAGGCAAATGCAAAACAAATTTATCCGTGAAAGGGTTGGTGTAGCTTCAGTGGCAGACATGATTATAGAGAGTCATATTAGATGGTTTGGTCACATTAAACTTCATCCATCTGATGATTCGATTAGGAGAGTAGATATTTTAGATTCGACTTATGCTAAGAAATGTAAGGTAGACCTAAAAAGTCTTGGACATATTGTATAAAAAATGATCTTAATTTATTAGAATTAAAGATAATATGACACTCAATAGGATACGATGGAGAAAAAAGGATTCATGTAGTTGACCCCACTTTGTGGGATGACGGCTTGTTGTTATTGTTGCTATTGTATAGAGATTAACTTTGCATCCTGAAAGAAAAATAAAAATTTTAATATGGATATGTTGTAAAATTAGGAAAAATAGTTTGAGGAATAATTACATAAAAGATTTATGGGAGCATCTATTAAAGATAAGATAGTCAAAAATAAATTGTTGTTTTTTGGATATGTAAAAGAAGCGAAAGAAAATGTGCCTTGAGACGAGTGGATGAAATTTATGCCAAAATATTAGGTAGGAAAATCGGTAGATTGTAGACAAATTAACTTAGATAGATCTTGTGTGAGAGAGGAGTGTAATTTTGGTTTAACTACTAATGGAAAAATTTGTATGGAGTAAAACTCTTACAACATTATTTATCCTTTAGAAATAAAAATAATTGAACTTCGAGTAAAAACCTAAAATAATCTGTCGTATATTATGAAGCGCCCGATTTAGTTCCCGAGTTTTAAAATGCTCCAATTTAGTCTCATAATATTAAAATTTAGTTTGAAATTTGTCCTAAATCAAATTTTCTATTAAATCTAACAACACTTCACAATTTGAAATGCTAATTCGTCTTTTCACAGTTTGTGAAGAGATTAGCTGAAATTTTAAAGCTACTATTCAAGATCTCGAATTTTTTAGCGAGAGTAATCAAAATAATACTTCTAAAATTTTCTTTTTAAAATAATGTAGTTAGAGTATAGGGATATGCTCCATTTAAATAACACTAAAAATTTTATCGCCACAATTGGAGAAAGGGGTGATGGTGGTAGGTCTTCTGGTAGTACTACTCCTATTTTTATTAGTGCGCTACAGTTAGGGGTGTCAAAAAGTGACCCAAAACATCAACACGACTTAAACTCGAATCGAAAAATCTGGGTTAGGGTTGACCCAAATATTTTTCGAGTTAGATTCAGAATAGAGAATTCGAGCCACAAACAGTACCTAAATAAGCACAAATTTAGTGTCGGGTTCGGGTTAGCGGGTCAAACTCGGGTTCGAGTTTTAGTTTTCGATATGTTTATTATTCGGGTTGGGTCAATTTCGGGTGGGACCCGAATCCGACCTGCTTACCTGAATTGACACCCCTAGCTACAGTATAGAGATTGGCCATATTAAAAAAATTATTTATTAAATCAAATTTTTCTTTATATGCTTCACAAGCTTCTCTGAAATTGGTTATGAATTTTAATATTTGATTGAAATCTTTAAAAATAAAAGTAGAATAATAATAACTTCTTAAAATAGTTAAAATTTAAATTTTATGCATATTATTACATTTTTCCATTCTTTTAAATATTAGTCATATTAAAAATGAATAAATTTACTTAATATTGAATACTTTAGCTTTTCTATCTGGTGAATACTTTATTTTTTCTATCCAATGAATACTACTAATTTACCCGCCAATTGGTGAAAGGCACCATTAAATTTAATGGGAAATTTGATATGGACCAATTTGGAACATCTTTTTTTTATTTTGGGATTGAATTGAAGCAATTTAAAACTTGTGGACTGAATTGACCATTTTTCAATAGTCACGGGACTATTTAGTCTTTTACTTGTACAACTTCATCAACTTGGGCGTCTCAAGCCAACCGTGCACATATCCATATATCCGGTTTAGTTTTTTTAGTTGGAATATTTATTTTGCAATTATTGTTGATTTGTTCATCAGGACTTTGAAAATATGTAAAATATTTTCAGAACATGATGGTTGGCCACTCCAAAATGAATCTTAAATTCATTATGTTTATTTGGAGTTTATCAATTTTTTAGGAGGGGAAAAACTTTTTGCTATTGATTCAACTTTTTTACCATTGCTCTAAATTTTTTTTAAAGTCGCTCTCATTTTTCAAGGATTGTTAGCTAATAATAATTCAACGCTGATGTTATGAGGTTGTACGATTTTCATTTATGGAGAATAAACCATGTAAGAAATATAACAATAATTGTTGTCATATCAAGAATTTTAGTTTTAGTCAGTGGACCTAGAGAGATTAGAGGCTATGATTAAAAAAACCATGAATCCTTTTAGCTGTGTAATGTACTTTAAATGTCAAGCCGCTAACATTGTCGGCCAAATAATGTCGCGGATTCTTTATTTATGATTTAATTTAGTTTAATTATTGATATATATATATATATATATATTGGTTAATTTTCAGACAATCATATATATATATGATTATAACTTTATAAAATAATATTTTTAATTTTGGAAAATAACATTATTTTAATTTAGAAAAGTGAGACCAAATAGACCTCACATATTTGATAATCTAGATGGTTGAGCACGATACCACAAATAATACACTATCCTGAAGGATAAACATATCATTTATTAGTAGGCTTAATCACCTAAATTAAAGAGTTGTTGACGTCCGTTTGGTCTGTGAAACCTTTTTTTATAAGAAGACAAGTTCTCATATTTAATATGAGAGATTAAATAGAGTTTTTATTAAGTTGGGTTCTTAAGTTCCCTATAGAGGCAAACTCCTACAGTTAATTACATCTTAGGCAATCGAAATCAAGATTAGTGGTTCTGTCTTCAAGATTTCAAAGTTTAGGTTTTCAAGGTTGAATATAAGAAGATCAAAAGGAAAGAGATCAAAATAATAACAATTATTTTTAATAATCAAAGGAGTGAAATGTAGGGGATGTCACAAATCCGAGGGGGAACCCCGGTGACATCCCAACTATCCTACTATTAGGCTTTAATTTTGAAGAGATGTTATTTGATGCTTCATCCTGTCAATTTTATTATTTAGGACTTACAATAGCACGATACCCGATCGTGCAAATGACCTAAGAAGATAAGAGGATTTACATCGTACTGTATTAAGCGACGACCTCAAAATCCTAAAGAGAATTAGGACTTATAATGCACAATAGAGTGGTGCAAATGCCTAAAACGAAAATGAGGATTTATGTCGACGACCTTGAAGTCATATGGGTTTGTTGTTGTTTAAACTAAGGAGATGTTTTGTTGATGTAGATATGTTTCACATTTTGTCCTGTCGTAGGGTTCCACCTAACCGGTGTTCTACGATTCTTTACCCAAGGGGTTTAGTAAGTGCATTAAAGTAAATAATGTAATAAAAATAACAACAATTTGAAGGAAACTTAAAAAAATTGCTAGAAAATCCAGTTTAAGAAAATCTAAAATCATAAAAAAATGAGAAACGAAACACGACGTCACGAATAAAGGAACAGGAGTATGTGATTTATATGTGGCATTAGGAATGTCCACAATTACCAGAAGGATTTGAGTGTAAGGTTCAAACTTGAATCCCGGAGCATTGGGTTTCACTGTAGGTTAAGCCATGACGGGAATTTCACTACTTGATATTTCACTACTTGATTTAATTCACTACTTGATTTAATTAAGGAAGTTATGAACCACATCTTGGTGTATCCTTATGTTTAGTGTTTCAACCATTTCTTGAATTAAGGTCAAGTGCTTAGCTTCATCACTCATTTGAAAATTAGGTAGATAGACTACCACCTAGGGTGTGCTCATAAAATCTAGGAAGTCTACACTTTAACCCTTGCTTGAAGTGATTTAAGGTGTTTTACCCTCAATTAAGTGTTTTCCAACTAATCGTCAAATATCTTTTAAGTGTTTTCCAAATAATTAAATAAAAAATTTCCATTTTTGACTTGACCATTGATGAGGAAAAAAATAACAAAAGCAAATCAACGGAGAAAGAGGCCGACCCACTTCTAAAAAGAAAATCAGCTAAGCAAGGGGCAACCAAAAGGGAATTGGCCTAAATTCGTTTAAATTCTTTCAAAACAATGATCAAATCAGTCCCAAAAGGTGCGTAAAAACTTCCAAAAATTAACACTTAAAGTGCTCAAATCGAAATATAAAAAAAATTTCAGTGGTATATATGTAAATATATATGAGAACTAGATGGTAATTATGTAAATATAAAAGCTTA